ATATATATGTAGAGCAGTTCGGTAGCGTATGCCCTTTTACAGTAATATCTCGGACCAAAGACCAATGCACTGTGCGCGAAAACAAAGTGCGCTGAAGGGAGCGCGACATTTTCGAGTGCGAATGGGAAACCTTGAAATGCCCGGTCGAAGTGAACGTAAAAACATTTTACTGGAAACATGAGAGTGAAAATAATCATGTGAAACACCACGCACGCACTGTGTCGCACCTTATCGGATCCGTTCCCCACACAAATATTATATGAATAAGTAAGCACCCTTGTTCTCTCCAAATGAAAACACCGCGAAACACCTCATTTCCTACATACTATAAAAGTTCATAAAGACATGCCATGTGCCCCCTTCCCCTCTCCTCCTTCCCCCGTCCTCCATCTCCCAAGTACTAGGAAATTCATGAAGCTCCTCGATCCGACTTACGATTGACGGACTGAACAAAACTGTCTCGATTGGGAATGCAGCGACCAGAGGGGCCGTCTAGATGGGCAACAACCACCAAGCGACGAAGGCCCCTGCTGCCACGGTAGTATTGCTGCTGTGCGCCGTTGCCGTCACCGCAGCCGAACGATCGTTGCCGTTGAAATGAAACGAGCGTGCGCTGTCGCTCCTCTGCGTCTCTGGCCATCGCGGCTCTGGCCGCCTGCTCTCTGCACCTAAAGAGATGCCGCCTGTTGCCTGGTCGCGATTGGAGTACGGTATCGCTGAGTACGACACAATAGCGCATCATCCGGGGCTCGGCGTCCAACAAAGGGAGCACTGTCGCATGAGAGTGAGTCAGAGGAGGGTACAACGCCGAGATCGATTGGGCTGCGAGCTGGTGGCACCCTCAGTACACAATCCGACCGCTCAATCAACACGTAAGCATCTTTACAAGCCGTTCTATCATCTACGGTTACCGACATTACTACGGTAAAATGCTATCATTGGTGAGAAAGTTACGGTAAAATGCAGTACTAATGGACAGTAATTCGGTGCGAAAGGCGGACCGAGGGAGAGGACACGTACGGACACTTCAAATAACTACACAGAGGT